CAGGGTGGGCATCAATCTGGCAGAATTGATTAAATTGGCTGATCCAAATTGTAATTACCGGTTTGGATTAGTTTTGATTAAGAAAAAGTTAAACGATTAACCGGACCGTATATAGTTTAGTTTAATATGGTTTTGAGCTTTTATACACCGATCTAAACCAAACCGGACCATTTATGTATATATTTATGTGTTTATATTTTATTTTACATGTGTACTACTTTAATTAGGTAATAACTATGTATGGATATTTGAATTGAGCTACATTAGTTATTGACATTTGAAGTTGTTGAGGCCCAAAATATTCACGGTTCGGCCCAAATAAATTCTCGGCCCAATGTGATGCTTTACCAAGAAGAAACCCGATTTGGGCATACGAAAGTTCATCATATGCGCTTGCACACATGCCACGCCAAACACACGCCATGCTAAGTAAGGAATTATCATTCCGCACCTAATCACGCCACAAGCTTAAGTGGGCCCCAAGCCACTCAAAATACCCTGGGGCTTGCTTGAGTGGGTTGTGGTATGGATGGTGATAAATCAACATGAGACCCATTGATGGACCGAGAAATGGAAAGTCTCGGGTTGCTTGGGAGCCTCGAGACTCAAGCCCGTTTCTTAGGCCCAAACATGTGGGTAAGCACAAGAGAGAAAAGTAGCCCAATACCCAAGCAAAACAACCCAACCAAAATAAAGCCCAAACTAAGAAACCCAATGTTTAGTAAAAGCCCTTTTGCTTAGGAAATCACCTTGGCCCATATAAAAATCCTAAAATAGCCCACAAAAAACCTCAGCTTTTGGAGAAAGCACAGGACACGTGAAGAGCAGATGGCAGACTCCTTAAGCAAAGCTGCTGGAAACCAGTCTCAAGCCAGAGACATCCAAAGAACCAATGAATACCATCCCGCATGCTGTCAGAAGCATCCCTTGGACCAGCATGTATTTTCACCTCTTTTCCTTCGTCAGATTCAGCCCAAGGAAGAGGAAAGAAAAGAAGAAAAAACAGCAAACCAAGAGTGGAACTCCCATTGCACAGCCGCGGGAAAGGAGGATGTTGAGCCCCCAAATCCCCTGAATTCATGAAAATAGACAAAAGCAATCTTTGCCAAGAAAGGGGAAGTCAGAGAAGGGGAGGAGAAAGGAAGAAAAGCTTAGCCAAAGTAAGTAGAAGCCATTAGGGTTTCTTGAAAAATGGTGATTTCCGGCAGCTATAAATTGAGCCTTCCCCTACCCAACAAAACAACCCACAACCTGCAGAGAGCAAGCTTTCTCTCTAACTTGCAAAAACTCAACAAGCTCGTGCACTGTTCATCTTCTTCTCCAATTTGTTTTTCTGGCAGCTGCCAGAAGAACTCTGCCTTTCTTTTTCCTCTTTCCCTAGTCAAATTCCTCACAAAACACCTCATTCCTAACTCACAACTTGCAGAGAGCAAGCTTTTCTCTCTTGCAAAACTCAGACTCGTGCACTATTCATCTTCTTCTCCAATTTGTTTTTCTAGCAGCTGCCAGAAGAACTCTGCCTTCTTTCACTGGGGATTAAGCCACTATCTGCACCAATGCCTCCAAAGAAGAAGACCAGAAGCAATAAACCGGAGGAAATAAAGAGATAAGAGCATTCCCTCTTTCTTTTTCTTTTTCCTTTCGTTGGCTATCTACTTTGTAGAACAAACATAATATAGATTACTCACATGCTCCCTTTGCTTGTGTCTTAGATCTCCATTCTCAAGCAAAACAATATCTTGTAAGAGGACTGGGGGCTTCAGCCAACGTGCAAGCCGCTGACCACCGTCGTCAATGGTTGAGGCTAGCTCTGCCGTTCACCTCTCCGCCATGATACATCATCAGCAAGTCTGGCCATCGCCGTAAATCACCTTCATAGCAGCCCTCACCTCTCTAGAGTTGTGAAAACACGGTGAGAGAGGGAGAAGGAACACTTGCTCAATGCTCTCAGCCTCATCTCTGCGAATGGCTTCACCAAGATAAGATTTTTATTATCATGCCTTGTTGATCTCAATATAGTATATATATTTGTTTGTTGTTTTAGGATATCCATAAAATTTATGTTTCATTGAACAATCTCAAGCATAGACAAAAGCATGTGCATTCAAGTCCAAAAAAAAAGATTGATTGATTAGTTGTTATTCATATGGTGCACCAGCTTGCATCATTTTCTTGTTATGTATTAAACCACCTTTCAATTTTGCATCTCCAGCAAAATTTCTCAGGGCCTTATTCCACGCACTATTCACTTATCTTACTTCTTATCATTTCGTATCGATCCACCTTTGTGTTAATCAATCCAAGTTACACATTGCAATGTAGATGCCAACTATGCATGCTCAGTACTAAAATCATACCTGCCCAGCATGCTTATGTCAATTATGTTAGTCATTTGCAAGCTACAATGCTTATATTATTTTTATGCTTTGGTCATGCAGCATTATATCGGTCATGTGCAAGGGACCCAAGCCTCCAAACAACAAACAAGAAAACAAATGCTCTCATGTTTCCTACCCAACATCTCAACACACTGCCATTATCATCATTCCTTAGACAAATCTCTCTCTATACTTCCAGTCATAGAAGTTCAAGCACCACTGAAAGAGCCGCTGGAAGGGTGGAAGAAGAACAGAGCCAGTCAAAATCCAAACACCACTGCTGGAAGAGTCGCTGCCAGAAGCACATGCTACCACCGAATCATGCCAAACTGTCACCGTTGCAACAAAGGGATATCCCAAGTTCATCATGCCATGCAATAACCCAAACAAATACTAAGAAGGCCATGTTGCAAGAGTTTTTGTAGCCTATGCCCATCAAATCCTTTTCTGATGATTATGGTGCACTTGGGGGCTGAGGAAGGAATTCATTGCAATCACCACGGCAGTGATTCCAAAACCCCAAATGAGCTTAAAAATCCATTATTACCAAAACCACTATTCCCAGACCAAAAATCTCCTTGAAATCCCAATTATGTTACTATGACCTCCAAGTTCGCCATCACTTGTTGTTGTAACCCAACACATTTGCTGCAGTGACCACATACAAAGCTCAAGCTTCAATAGCCAAGTCCAAGCTTTTGGTTCCTAAAACATGTTCACAACAGCTGCAACAAACAATACCTAAGTTGCCATAACTGATATGCTCCAACACCTCAAGCACTTTCTAAGCCTTGACCATTCCAATGACCAAGTTTAGGAGTCAAAACCAAAAGGCTATCAGGATGTCTCAATTGCCACAATTCCATAATCAAGCATCATCAAGCCCCGAGCCTTAGTCAAGAAATCCAAGCACTATGCTTTACTCAAGAAGGAAAACATCTCAATTCATGGCAAATGAAAGGAAAATATTGCGAAGGTAGTGCTATGATACTGCTGGAAGAACCTAAATGCTGTCAAGATGAAGTTTATTTTACCAAGCAATCAGAATTTTTGAAGCGATGTCAAGCTTTCAAGAAAAGGGGTGCTGGAAGCGTATTTTCCTATATTCATCCATTCTTCACCTGCAACATCCACCACTGCTTGCCATACTCTAAGGAAGATCTTACACGCCGAGATACATGACAGAACTCTAAGAGGCAAGCTATTGACAAGGACCCCTTGCCAAAACGAAGGGGAAAGTAGATGGCTACTGTCATTACGTGCTTTGATGACTTGCTCGACGACGACGTATTGTGCCACCTGTGGAAGAATGACCCAAAGCCACCGGAGGCTATGTGGGAACCTTGTGGAAATATGAAGAAGGCCAACTGGAGCAAATATTCAAAATCTGCAAGCTATAACACCCCATGGCTACTTGCTAATGGATGGGAGAATGGTTCCAGCAGCGAAGTATTCACATTGGACATGCTGGAAGAAAGCCACTCGGAGGCTTCATTTGGTCATCAAGATTATCAAGAAGCAGCTGTTGTAACCTCTCATAACTTCACAGAGGTTGAAGAAAGTACAATGGGTTAGGAGCTGCAAATCACTCTTTGATTAGTTGGGTTATGAGCTGCAGGCAAGCAAAGCAGCAACTGTGGCTCTGTTAAATATCTCTACAGAGCATGGCATCCTAGTACAACACATGCCAAATACATGCCAACCTAAGCCACAAGCTTTCATGCTATTGCAAGTCATGCACAACCTTGGGCCCTTTCATACTTGGGGGCTTAATTTGATGGGGGTATTTATCAATGCAAAATGGCTCAAAGCCTTACTACTGAGTTGCTTTTGCACCTATCCTTTTGTTTTTGGCTTTTCAAATTTATTTCAAAGATGAACTCCTTTTGTGTTTTCACCATATGTTTTCACAACTTTGGTAGAATGCACCAGCATTATTGCATGCCAGGCATAAAACGATATTTGCAAGGAGAATGGAGTATTTTGGAAAAGAGAAAAAAAGCCTCTAGAATTCTTCCTTGCTTTTACCTTATTCTGTTTTACAAAACATGTTCTTTGAAAAAAAAATAGACAAGCAAACTTCCCTTTTAAAAGCTAAGCCTTTTAGCAGTAACCATGCCAAGCAAAGTCACTTGAATGGGGTCCCGAACCATCAACAAGCATCACGCTTAAGCAAAAATAGCATAAGGCACGAGAAACCAATCTATTCCAAAGAAGCACGCAATCTTGAGGTGCTGGAACAACATCTGGGAGTTTTATAAAACCTTGGTAAGAATCATGCACATGCTAGTCTGGCCCTTTTTAAGGAAGGCAAGAAGCTGCTTTTCAAACCCAGAGGCTAGATAAACCATGCAAAAGAAACTTTAGAAATTCGCTCATGTCAAAATTTTGGCAGCATATACCTTGTTTTTTAAGGATATCCAACCTGTCAGAAAATCTCAAGAAGTTCACAAGAGCAAGTTCTCCCAACCAAGCAATATATATATAAGATGTACGAATTACAACATGCCTCAAGCATTCAGAAATTAATGCAAGTTCCAGTGGTTCAGTAGTACATTACAAAGTCATAATGACATAGTCGTTAGATTATCTGAAAAGTACACAGCCATCGCAAAAACAAGGTTACACATGCTGGAGATTAGTACATCCTATGGTATCAAGAAAGATGGAAGCTGTGCACCAAGCCAACTGACCCCAAGCCAAAGAAAACAACCTGCGAAATAAAAGGAGGCAGCACGCTGGAAGATGCAAGGCAGCGCCGGCAGCTATGTCGCATGTTCTGAGAAGAGGATGAGTAGGAGGCAGCACTGCCGGAAGGTGCAGGGCAGTGCCGGCAGCTATGTTGGATGTTCCGAGAAGAGGAGAAGTAGAAGGCAGCACGCTGGAAGATGCAAGGCAGCGCCGGCAGCTATGTCGCATGTTCTGAGAAGAGAATGAGTAGGAGGCAGCACTGCTGGAAGGTGCAGGGCAGTGCCGGCAGCTATGTTGGATGTTCCGAGAAAAGGATGAGTATGAGGCAGCACTGCTAGAAGGAGCAGGGCATTGTCTACCCCTGCATCGGATGTCCCAAGAACATAGGGGCTATGGGAATCATGCCGCCATGCGCTATTGCTAAAGCCAAGGGGAACACCTGCGCATGCAGACAATCTTGGGAAAATTCACAGAGGAGGAATTTCCCGAACCATAATGATACAAACGCAGCAAGACGACACTGGCTCTTCGCCTACTGCAACATCTTCACAAGCATTCTTGAGAAATGGAGGGGGCCTTCCCCTCTTCAATTTATCATCCGTTGAATAAAGGTAGCCACTAATAATTGACAACGGGTTAGTGAATGCCATGGCAGGTCTTGACAAGCGATGAATCCCTGCAAGAATTGCCAACAAAGAATACGCTGAAAAAACGGCAAAGCATAAAGCTAGTTCTCTGTGTTAAAGCCAAGCAATCTCCACACTAGCATGCAAGCCCTATGAACTTTACAAGCCAAGCAAAGCAAGCTATCTCATGCCAAGCGAAATGCATAAACAAAAAAAATATATTTTTGAAGCATCATGCAATCTATTACTCGAGCTCATGATGAGCAAATTTCCCATTCCATGCTCAATCAATCATTCCAGCAGACCCTTTTTCACAAAGCAAGTGCTACAAACTGAGCACTATTTACCTCATAGTAACCTTTTTCACAAAAACGAAATACCTACGAGTTACACATCCTTGCAGACCCATCATACACATGTTTATGTCTATCCCTATAAAGCCAAAAAAATAAACAGTTATCCATGACCAAATTCTAAGCTCATAAAGGAAAAAAAAGAAACCAATGGTGCTTTTCTCAAAGCTTTCAATAGCCTCTAATCCTATGCATTAATCATACGATTACAAGCATGCGCTCGTGATGCATATAGTTCAACAACAAAAAAGCGGGTCAAGAACGCAGCACACGCAAAATATACGCCAAGCAGGGCAAGTCAAGCTCAGGCCAAAGGAAACACTTAAGCAAATACCCAAGCAGCATACAATTTATCCATGGCAAGCGAAATTTTCAAGCAATTCCCATGACAAGCAAATTCTCCCTCAAAATGCAAAAGGATTCAAGCATTGCAGAGCATGCACTCTGTCAATTTCTATTTCCACAACATGGGAGAAAAGTCCAAATTTATTCAAGCATGCGAAAAACAAGCCTAGGCCAAGATATCAGTCTATATCTATTCCTACAGAGTTAAAAAGAAGGACCTGAGATTCCAGTGAACGAGCAAAGCCCATGGGCATGAAGAGCCCAACAAGCCCCTCGATAGATTCAAGAAATTGCAAAAAGGAAAGGGCATACCTTGTCAATCACCTCAAAGGACGACCTCAAATGCACCAAGAAAGAAGGGAGGTTGGTGCTGGAAGAAGGGCAGTAGGTGCCGGGAGAAGGGTAGTTGGTGCTAAAAGAATATCGTATCTTCTATTTCACGTTACCATCTCCTTCATCACCATTGTTGATCTCATTGTTTATGCAACCAGCTGACCCATCATTGCAATTATCCCCATGTTTTTCTGCGCAGACTTTGGCACCATCATTATTTTCAGGCATACTTAAGAATTGGTCTTTCTGAAGATGGATACTTCGGCAACTAATACTTGCAAGAACTTCTTCTCATGGCCATACGACAACTCCTGAAAAATCACAAGCTTTATTCATGCAATTGCACTACAGCAAAATTTAAAGCTTTTCAGACAAAACATCTTGCGAAAGGCTTATGGGAGGCTTAAGAGAATCCATCATAGCAAACAACACATGCAAACTCCAAATGACTTGGGGGCTTCATGTCAAGCAAAAGAGAGAGACAAGAATCCTGAAGCTGTTGTAAATTTCAATTTTCCTCTTGGAGGAAAGCAAACTGTTTGTTACTTATCTGGAGGAAAACAAGCTGTATGAATCTCTTCCAGCAACTCGCTTAGCCTTTTCCTTCTCATCTTCAGTCTACTTCTTCCAAAAATCTTCTTTGAAGCAAGTTTACAAGCAGGCCTCTACTTTGTTTCTCGACCCTGAGTAAGCCAAAGAGAATATAACCCAACTCTGCAACCAATTGCTGACCTCAACAAGCTGACTTGAGGGCTTCATGCCAAGCAAATTCAAGGAAGTACACCATGCCATCCAAACAAGCAAACCCATCTACCTTTTTTTGCCACACAGTATAAATCATCTCTTTGATTACAACAAGCCTAGATAATCTTGCATTATGGTGAGAAACAGTTTTCTATTTCCCCTTTTTGAAACAAGCCAAGTTACATTCTTCTAGCACCTACTCCATAAGCAAAGAATTTTTATCACCTACCCTATTTCAAACATCCTTCCAGTACATGCCTAATTTCAAACATTCTGCTAGTTTCAAATCTTCCAAAAGCCTTCATATCGCAAGTCAAGGTGCAAGCAACCAAAACTCACCTTCATGCTACCAAATTCCTTGCAAATTAGTAAGAAGATGGCATTCCTCATGCTTTGGAATCTCTCAATCAAGCCTGAAAAAGAAACAAGGGAGTACGTTGGCCAGATCAGGTGCCGGAAGGGAACTAGTAAACAGAAAGGGGGTGCCGGAAGTAGAATCGCTATTAAAGCATAATGTTTTCCAAAGACAAGTTGCAAGAGACCAAGACTCACTTTCATGCTATCAAATTAGAATTCTCACTTCTCATGCTTTCGAGCTTTTAAAACAAGAGAATAGTTAGCCAAAATCAGACGCCGGAAAGGTACTCATACACAAACGGATGTGCCGGAAGCATAATTTTCTCAAAGTGCAGCAAACTCATCAAGCATTTGACAAAATTCACAAGTGTGATACCAATTCACATACCAAGAAATTTCATTTCATTCAAGCATTCCAAGCAATTCGGGCATTTCAAGCAAATTGAAGAACTCATGCTCTTGCGACAATACCATTCCACTTCATGCTCTCACGACAATATTGCTCAAGAACATGCTCTAGCAATACTCAGATCAGCACTCAATACCAACAGAAAGGACATGCTAAATTCCCAAGCAAAAGCAACATGCCAAGCAAAACTTATACACAAGCTTTCCAACCATCCTAGCTAGAATATCCCACCTTTAGAAAATCACTATAAATCAAGCTTACAACCAACAAATCCCAGACTTTCCAGATTAGAACTAGACATATCAAGCTTCATTTTCCCAAAATTTCGTTGCATTTCGAGCTAGGGAAGCATGTCAAACAGATTTCTAAGACAGCCCACACAGCAGAAACTGTACAGCTCCAGCACCTTAACCCTTACTTTGAAATTCCACCGAAAATTCATTTTTTCTTCAAGTGATGCAAGACCAATTCCAACATAACCATTGAGAAGTCCATTTTTATGTCTCAAAAGCTCCAACTCAGATTCGAAAAGAAACATTTCAAAAGTTCAAAAAGCAGCCAGCAAGCTACTTTGAGATATTTTGACAAACACTTGGCATGCATACCCAAGTGAGCTTGTATAACTCTTGTTTATCACCAAGCTAGAATCCTAAATCAAAAGCTCAACCTTAGAATTCGATTTCTAGTTCACAAATTCTGGGAAATACAGAGGAACTCAAGCATTCAAGCATAGAAGACAAGCATGCAACAAAGGCATCAACATCAACTCATGAACATGCTTTAGAAAAATGGAGGTAGAGAGCACTAGAATGGGTGGATGATCCTCAATTTTGGATATGTTATAGACAACATAATTTCAAGCAAATTTTGTGAAGCAAGCGCAATCATACGAGTATCATAAGTTAAAGACACATGCAGAAGAAAAATCTGCAAAAACTCACCAGCCATGGATGAATTCAGAAGTTGCAAACCAGCTTTGAGGTATCAGAAAAATTCAAAAAATTCTGCAAATTTTACTGGCTATAGTACTCGAGCAGATGAACAACTTTGATCAAGGAAGTTTTCTGATCCGAGCTTCCGAAATATGACTTATGTACTGATGCACAATACCCCACGGGTTTGGGTCTTGAAGAAGAAAGAAGAGAATGAGAGAAAATCATAAAATAAAGCATGCCATGCCAAATGAAAGGAAAAGAGGGTAGACACTTGCAAATAATAAAAAATTCAAAGGGAAGGGGCAACAAAATTTTGCCCATCTGAAGGCCAAGCCAGCAAGGAGACAACGTGCCCAGCTCTCTTATGCTCTCTCAAACTCGTATCTTCTTCCACCCATCAATACAAGCATTTGTGAATCAATCCACGCAAACCATGCAACTCAAGCATTTCACTTAGATGCAATCATTTCAAGCAAACCAAACCAAATATCACAATATCAAGCTTTTCAAGCAATACAGTCATCATAAAAATGGCAATGTTAGAACTTGGCAGTTCTAGTTGCTGGAAGCACATAGAAGAAGTCATGCTATCATTGTCCTCATTGCAACAAAGGGGTATCGTTTTTTCCAAAACACCAATATTCATGCTACCGGAAGAGTGAACCCTCATGCCAGATCAAGCTATATCTTGATTCAACTCAACCATTAGATTATCCAAGTCCAAGCTAATCAAGCCAAGCCAAGTCACATTTTTTCCAGCACCTATTCCATGCCAAACAAAACCGTTTCCAGCACCTATCCTATTCCAAATATCCTTCCAGCACTTGTTATATCCAAATATCCTTCCAGCACATGCCCTATTTCAAACATTCTTCCAGCACATGCCCTATTTCAGACATCCTTCCAGCACATGCCCTATTTCAAGCATTCTTCCAATATCTAGCCATCATGTCGCACGATATCACCTTCATTGAAGTTTTGTCCTCTAAATTCAAAGTGTTCGGAGGCTGGTGCTGTAAAGTCAAACACAATGGTGAATCCAAGCTTATTGCATCCGCAACTCTAAGATTGGATCCCCACTATCCACTAGCACGTCCGGCTACTGTCAAATGACATCCACCATGCTAAATGTCCCAAAAGCCATATTAAACCATGCTACCTTAGCCAAAACCAAGCATCCAAGCATGCAAGCCAAAATCAAGCATACACGCCAATACCAAGTATCAAGCCAAAATCAAGCATACATGCCAATGCTAAGCATCAAGCCAAATACCAAATATACAAGTCAAAGCAAATCATGCAAGCCAAAATCAAGCATACATAACTAATATTAGATACACAAGTCAATGCAACTCTTGCAAACCACAATCATGCAAAATCAAGCCTCTCTAGTCACTCAAGCAAATAAATCATGCGAGCTAAGTAGTTATCTTGAGCTAATCCACCAAGCATTTTCTTCTATATCATGCCACAAAATAAGGTCAACTCTTGGTAACTCTAGTAAGTGACCTTCAAAATTACAGTGTCTAGGAAAGTTCTTCAAGGCAACACCCTCGGTGTTTAAGAAGGATTGGGTTTTAAGCGGGACCATTGTGACCCCTCCAACCTTCCCGGAAAAGACCTGGCTGTAATTTCAAAGACTCTTAACCTGTTATCCTTGAGTTGCTCCTAAACCCATGCCATGCCATGCCACGGTAATTTATTTTGGGCTGAAAATTGATTATTCGGGACCATTTCAATACACATTCATGGCCCCAATAATCAAGGGGGCTAATGTTGAGCCCCAAAATATTCACGGTTCGGCCCAAATAAATTCTCGGCCCAATGTGATGCTTTACCAAGAAGAAACCCGATTTGGGCATGCGAAAGTTCATCATATGCGCTTGCACACATGCCACGCCAAACGACACGCCACGCTAAGCAAGGAATTATCATTCCGCACCTAATCACGCCACAAGCTTAAGTGGGCCCCAAGCCACTCAAATACCCGGGGCTTGCTTGAGTGGGTTGTGGTATGGATGGTGATAAATCAACATGAGACCCATTGATGGACCGAGAAATGGAAAGCCTTGGGTTGCTTGGGAGCCTCGAGACTCAAGCCCGTTTCTTAGGCCCAAACATGTGGGTAAGCACAAGAGAGAAAAGTAGCCCAATACCCAAGCAAAACAACCCCAACCAAAATAAAGCCCAAACTAAGAAGCCCAATGTTTAGTAAAAGCCCTTTTGCTTAGGAAATCACCTTGGCCCATATAAAAATCCTAAAATAGCCCACAAAAAAACCTCAGCTTTTGGAGAAAGCACAGGACACGTGAAGAGCAGATGGCAGACTCCTTAAGCAAAGCTGCTGGAAACCAGTCTCAAGCCAGAGACATCCAAAGAACCAATGAATACCATCCCGCATGCTGTCAGAAGCATCCCTTGGACCAGCATGTATTTTCACCTCTTTTCCTTCATCAGATTCAGCCAAGGAAGAGGAAAGAAAAGAAGAAAAAACAGCAAACCAAGAGTGGAAGCTCCCATTGCACAGCCGCGGGAAAGGAGGATGTTGAGCCCCCAAATCCCCTGAATTCATGAAAATAGACATAAGCAATCTTTGCCAAGAAGGGGAAGTTAGAGAAGGGGAGGAGAAAGGAAGAAAAGCTTAGCCAAAGTAAGTAGAAGCCATTAGGGTTTCTTGAAAAATGGTGATTTCCAGCAGCTATAAATTGAGCCTTCCCCTACCTAACAGAAACAACCCACAACCTGTAGAGAGCAAGCTTTCTCTCTAACTTGCAAAAACTCAACAAGCTCGTGCACTGTTCATCTTCTTCTCCAATTTGTTTTTCTGGCAGCTGCCAGAAGAACTCTGCCTTTCTTTTTCCTCTTTCCCTAGTCAAATTCCTCACAAAACACCTCATTCCTAACTCACAACTTGCAGAGAGCAAGCTTTTCTCTCTTGCAAAACTCAGACTCGTGCACTATTCATCTTCTTCTCCAATTTGTTTTTCTAGCAGCTGCCAGAAGAACTCTGCCTTTCTTTTTCCTCTTTCCCTAGTCGAATTCCTCACAAAACACCTCATTCCTTACTTAAACACTTTCTTTTCTTATAAACCAAGCCTAATTTCTCTCTTAGTGCTAAACCCATGTTGATTTTGCTCCCATGCCACATGCCACTCATGCTGAGCTGAAAGACTATCTGTAAGCATGCCAAAACTATCTGCAAGTTACCATTATTCTCGTTGGTGAAGATAACCAAAATACTTCCTAAGGCTCTACTGCCTTTTCGAGGTATTTTGGGGCTTAATTTTCGAACTCAGGCTCAAGGGGCAATTTCTTTCATTTTGCCCTTTACGGCAGTCAGGCCCGTAATAACTGCCGGAAGAAAAAAGCCCCTACAGAAGTTTTATGACATGTTGAGCTTTATGATGGTTTTGTACTCTAGAAAATGATTCAAGTATGGAGCAAGTTGTGAAATTGTTGGTTGTAATTGGGCTAACAATGTTGAAAAAATACAAAAAAAAGGAAAAACTGGGCTTAGGCTCAAACTGAACCAAACTGTCTTAAAATTGGTTTGGTTTGGTTCAGTTTCTTCATGACTTTTGTCAAAACCGAATCGAACCAAATCGTTATATTGTAATTGGTTTCGTTGCGATTTTGAAGTGAAACCAATCTAATCCGGATCGTGTCACACCTAGTTTTTGGTGACTTTCATAAATTGGATTGAATTTCTAATTTCAAACTCCAACATTTTAAGGTGGAATGACATATTTTCTCATCAAAATACAATCTAGTTGGCTTACCAGTCTAACAACTCCACCGAAAGTTCTCTTTACTTAATTTAGGAAGTGTATCCAATCCATACTTATAAATACTTTTTTTAAGTGAGTGATTTTCATAAAGTTGACAAATTCTTAATCTTTTACCCTTCGTTTGGATAAGGGAAAAAAACTCGAAATTTAGTTAAAAGTTAGGAATTTAAGACGAGAAATTGACAATTCCCTTGTTTGACAACTTAAGCGTGAAATTTGTAAAAGGACACACAGAAAAAATCATGGAAATTGGGGCATCAGATTTCCAAGTTTAATTTCCACCAAAATAGGCGTCATTTCACAATTTCCATAGTGCAGGATTCATATTTTCAAGTGTTCCAAAACTTACAATAAAACTTAGGAAAAGCAACACCAAACTTATGAAAATGCAGTGCCAAAAGTTATGATAACACTCCTCTATAAAATTTGTCTTCTCCCAAATCTAAAAGTTGCAAACCAGATAAGGAAGGAGAGAGTTCTTCTTGAGTTATACGTCTTTCTGCATTAAATCTGAAGGTTGGTCTTCAAGCCTTTCTCTCCTTTAATTTACGTTTTTTTTTTTCTATTTTAGGGTTACCATGCTTTCTGAATGGCTATCACAATTGGGTGTTTCTGACTAAATTTATGAATATGTTAGAGTATCCAAAATGGGCTCCCTAAACCACCTCCTTAGACAAGTTTTAGGGAGGAATTGGAAAAATACAACTCCAACCACGCTCCTTATCCACCTCCTAAAATAGGAGACCTCTAGGAGCTCCTAATTCTCAGGGGAGAGAAATGACTCCTAGTGGCTCCCTATAATTTAGTGTTACTTTGTTTTATGCATATTTTAAACTTTTAATTAATGCTAACTATTTTGTTATATTATTTTGTATAAAGATGGACCGATTACATTGAATTAAAAAATAATTATAGTATTTATGACTCCCTAAACTAAGGAGTATGATTGGAGTTCAAATTTTATAGAGAGCTCCTAAAATAGCTTTTGTCTGTTTTTAGCTAAATTTGAACTAAAAAAATAAGGAGCGTGATTGTAGATACTCTTACGAATGAGTTTTGTGATCTTTGCGGCACCATAGTTGGATTTTGGGAAGTTTTAAAAAAATTACTCTATGCGTATGAATATAGGTGTGTGGTATGTGTTTCTAATGCAACTCTGTATTTGTTTTTTAGCTTTATTGCTTTGTGTTTATTGATGTTTTTGTCTTCTTTGTTTTCTATATGGAATATGGCTTTGCCTAAAAAGAACTCAAAGCATGTGCTTGGCTGATAGAAAATGACAAAACAATTTTAGATGTTGAAGACACTCCCAATTGAGAGAGAGAAAAAAAAAGAAAAAAAAGTGCATGTTGATGATGTTTATTGCACGTGGGGAATGATTTGATTTGCTAATATGCTCTGTTCTTTTTAGTCCGATAATATGCTCTATTTTTTTTTCAATAAGTTGACTTATATGGTTCATCAAACAATATGTTATTTTCTACTTTAAGGAATAACTTTTATGTCGGCTATCAATTGTTTTTGTTTTTTTTTTATACAAATGTCAATTATGAGTTAGAACTCGATTTTTTGAAATATTTGATTTCTATCATTTACAATTTACTTGAGCTATCCAAACAATAAAATTTATAGTTTCTATCATTTACAAAATTCCACATATATAAATCAAAACATTGAAATCTTCAATTACCAAAAATTGAAATGATGGAAATCTAAATTTTGTCATTTTAGAATTCTATGTAATTTCAATTCATTCATCCAAACGGAGGGTCATAGAGTTGATGAAAGTCACAAGTAAATTAGCAAGACTTTTGCTATTAATAATTAGCCTTAAAAGTATACAAAAGTCATTCATTTAAATACTATTTAAAAGTCATTAACTTTTTGGATACCACCAAACTTTTAAATACTTTTAACTACTTTTTAAAAGTCACAATTGAACACCACTAAACTTTTAAATACTATTTGAAAGTCACAGTTGAAAACCTCTAAATGTTTTAAGTCTTTAAAAGTTAGAATTGGATACACCCTTAATTTCAAAACTAATTTTACCAAAATGTCGTAACTTTTCTTCTCAAAATTTTGGTCAGTCACATTTCACTCGTTCAGCATGTAACTTCAATCAAACAATTGATGGCCAATCAAGGAACCTCCTCCTGACCTAGGTTCTTTCACTATTTTGGAGTCAAGGCTGATGTGATCAACCAAGTGATGTAGATTGGGTGAAAATGAAGATTGATGAAGAATCATAAATGAAACAAGAACGGGCGCGGAAAAAGTAAGAACTAGACTACGTTTGTGTTGTGTTGAGGGTCATTTTTCTCTTCCACAACTTGATATTTATAGGGACTTTGATGTCTTGATTGCATCAATTGCCTTGATTCACCCAAAATGCATTCAATCATTTGACTCACGCTTATGGTTTAATATGAATAATAATGTTGATTTTATCTACATTCCATCTTGAGATTTCCCACAATAGCTTTGTATGACCATCATATTGGCATGATCTCCTCTTATTTGTGGATTGTGACATATGTAGAAATCATTATACTAATGCTTTCTCCTCATTTTCAGCCTTTGCTGAACTTGAGCATTTCTCCATAGATACTCTCTTGACAATAGCTTCTTAAAACATTTGGCCATATTTACACATTTCACCACCTTTAGGCATTCCACTTCTTTTACGTATTCCAACCCTTTTAGTCATTCGACTACTTTTAGTCATTCAGCCGTTTTTTCAATTTCGAGCTTCTAGCCATTCTTATTGATTTAGAGCCGCTCGAGCATAGCCTAGGCCCAAATGGTGATCCATTTGTCAGATTTTGGGCCTAACTGGGCCATATTTCAACTAGGCTCAAACAAAGGTAGCACATGTCCATCTTAACCCCATTTTTATGAATAATATATCGATTTTCATTTCTTATAGCCCTTTCTCCCATAAGCTTATTATTTTACAAGATCTTACTCGGTCACCTGAATATATTACATGCTTCTCTCCCATCACCTAAATGTATTTAAGTTCAAAGTTTGATATATTTAAAGCCCCCAAAAAAAAAAAGTTCACTCTTAGCCCAAAACCTCTATCCAGAGAGAGAGAGAGAGAGAGAGAGAGATAGAGAGAGCGTGAAAAAGGAAGAAGGATAAAAGGTTTAAAAGGTGCTACGGTATTTCACAGGGTCATTCTTGAGATTTTGAGAGCCCTGAGCGAAACTTGAATTGGGGCCTCACATAATCTAATATTAAAATACTATAAATAAAAAATTGTCATAACTTAATGTCATAAAACAACATTTTCATCGATATCAACATTTAGAACAAGCCGCACACTAAGAAACAACTGCAAAAATGCCAGCAGTTGTTGAAGTTATTATGGGGCTAATGGGAACTTTGTTTTCCCTTGCCTCTAATGCGGATAAATACAGAAAGCCAGGTGTTCTGCTTGTGTTGGATTGTGCATATGTTGGAAGTCTTTGTTACCCTCATATGTTCCTGTTTCTTTTTCCTCTACTTTCTTCGTTCTCCAATTTTCTTATATGTCGTCTCTTCGTTGGCTTTATTGTTTTTACGTTGTCTTTTTATTTTTATGTTTTCAAGCTATATTTTCAAAGTTTACATTTTTCGTATCTGCTTGATTTGCTTTTCTTACAAACAAACTTATGTAGTAAGGCTAAAGCGAATTACAAACAAAATTCAAGGGAACATGACTGTGGATATTGTTTGGTGTGGTATGACTGCAAAAACAAGTTACTGATATTAAATTTTGTCTGAATCAGTTCATACAGTTGATGACTTTCATTTAGTGTAATTTACCAAAAAACTTGCAAAGGCAACCAAAAGTACAAAAGTTATATCATATTCACAGAGAATTGGAAGTGATCTACATTTACATGGGAATGGGAGAGAGATAACACAAACAAACACCAACCCACTAACCACCACCATTAACCACACACCGCCTAGCCTAACATATATATAACCCAAAACAAATTTAGGAGACCCAATCCTAAACACAAGACCAGACACCACCGCTCCAACTTACCAACTACCACCGACTAGCCTATATATATACAGTCCCTTTCAGTTAAGGGATCCCTCAAGTAGTGTTATTTGAGGGATGGGGTGCTCAACCATTGGATCTATTTTAATGAGCTTGTGTGGCTGAGATTGATTCAAACCTTTTAACCCGTTTCCTTTCTAATGACCCGCTAGAAACCTTACGTACACTGGGAAACCAAAAGACACCATACGCAAGCACGCTTGAAGCAAAAACCAAGCTTAAGAGAAAAATCAAGAGACTCAAACATCCAAGTTGAAATAGCGAGATTTCTGTGCAAAATAGGTATGGGTATTCCTAGGTGTGGTTGTTTCAAAATTTGAGTCATGGGTTATTGATTTGGGGGTTCTGTTTCAATAGGTTGTTTCTGTTTCAATATTGATTTGGGGGTTCCGTGACAAGTTTTGAAGAGGAAGATCCTCCATCGCAAGACTTCTATGCAAAATAGGTATGGGTAAGTCTCTGCTCCTAACTTATTTGGAAAAAAAAACAAAAAACAAAAGAATTTGATTCATCTCTACTTCTAAGAATTTTATCATTATAGGAAAATTTCTTATGTTTCTATTGATTAAGAATTCTAGAATAAACCTTGTTAACAAACTTTGTGGAGATGTAGAAGTGCAGGAAGGTTGTGAAGTCAGTTGTTAGCCTTGTTGCTTCTAGTTTAATGATGTGGCTTTGATAATGTGTGGATTTTTAGTTTGTACCCATTGCTATGTATTTTTGCTTGGTCTGGTTATTTGTTTCCATATTTTGTATACAATCGTGACTTCAATTGAAGTCTTGTGCTTAATTTAGTATGAAGTTTCGTTGAAAGTATGAAGTTTTTTCTTGGACAGTATGAAGTTTTTTGGTTGGAAGAATTTTTGTTAGGTTCAGTAACTTGTTTCTTTTTATTTAGTAAAGGTGAATATAATAATGGGATGCTAGTTTGCATTTTTGTTGGAGCAAGAAAAAGGGCAAACATAGTATTTTCTTCAAGTATGTCAGTGCAACTCTACAACCCAAGAAATAGGTGGAATCACTGGAGTTCGAAACATCATCCAAAAATCTCATCATCCTGACAAGACAAAGTAAATGAAAAAAGAAATAAAAATTTATTGTTCTCAATAACAAGCAAGTTATATAGGTGGAAGAATTGTCATCCATGTCATCAACAAAATACTCCATATAAGTTCTGTGTATAACTATAATTACCTGTGACGAAGAACTATTATCCATGCCATTAAAAGCATCTTTGTCAACAATTGAAGATCTATCATGGTCAAAGATAAAGTTAACATGAGGTTAATACATAATAATAAGAAAGGAAAAATACAAATAAGTTTGCATTCTTACGATTTTTGAAGCATAGGACAGTTCCTTTTGTCGTGTGCTTGTCCATATTTTCCACACCCATTACAACGCCGACCTTTGTAGTTTTCTCTCGCCAACTCCTTTCTGCCCTTAAGTCTTTTCCCACTTCCTTTTTCTTTAGCAGGATCTGGTTCATTTAAACTAGTTTCAAAAGCAATACTTCTCCTTGCAAAAGGTAATACTTCTTCAGCACCATGAAGCAATGGCTTAATCCACTCAATCAATGAATCCAATGCCTCACAGAAGATCTGACTAGCCTTATCACTTAAGATGACTTTATCAATCACAAGTGAATATCGTTGGAATAATGCACTGTGCTTTCCTATTAAGGAGTTGTCAATAGATATCTCAACACCATCATTGTCTACCATAAGATCAAATCTAGCAGATCTAGTCCATCTCTTCAAAATATATTGATCTGGCAATTCATGAAGCTGACGTATTTTGTGCAAATATGCCAAAGTATGGCTGCATGGGATTCCCAAACTCTCAAACATATGATAGCTACATGATGCAAAATCTACATATTTGTCATAAACAATCAACCGGTTTCTTTTTTTCTTTTTGTCATCCATATGTACAACTTTATATGTGCAATGAGTGGCATTCTCTTCTGTAAGCTCAACATTGTTGCAATAACTCTCCCACAACTGATCTTGAAATTTATAGAAGTACGTGTATATATATTAGCCATTTGTCTATCCATTATTATAGGGTACTTAGTTTTTGCCTTCTCATTGATATTAGTGTGATCTACCATCAATTCCAAGTGTTGTTGGTGTAAAAGTCCTCTATTAAATTGAACCATAAAGTCCACCAAGGAATTGTTTTTTGATACATACCTCTTGAAAAATGCATGCCCACTTTCTGCTCGTTGACTACTAGACATTCCACATGAGAAAATGTGGTTCACATAAGCTGGCACCCATTTAGATCGAATATTAAATATTGATTGCAACCATGTATCTTCATTTAACCCATTGTTCTCAACAATAATCTTCCATCTCAAGTCAAACTCATCTCTACTCTCAGAATCACAAACACATTCTCTAAATTGTTGATAGTGAAGAATACACGCAGGCTTGTCAGAGAATTTATTCAAAATATGCCAGCTACAATACCTATGAAATGTGTTTGGAAGAGCTTTTGAAATGGCTTTTGTCATTGCGGGATCTTGATCAGTAATAATAATTTTCGGAGCATCACTTGGCATAGCCCTCAAAAATTCTCTAAACAACCAAATGAAGGAGTCTGTAGTCTCGTCACTTAAGAATGCCCCAGAAAAAATAATTGTTTGACCATGGTTGTTTACTCCCATAATTGGTGCAAAAATCATACAATATCGATTGGTGTTGTAAGTAGTGTCGAAGATAACCGCATCACCATAAAACTTGTACGATTGCCTAGAGATTGCATCAGCCCAAAAACATCGAGTAATCTTGTGTTCAATATTTGTCTCAACCTTGAGTATGAACCCTGGATTTTTTTTCTTGCTCATTCATGAAATGATCAAACAACATTTCTCCATCATGACCCTTGATCTTCATACGTCAATCTCTGTTGGAGTTGTACATATCTTGTTGAGTAAAACCAACATTTTCAATGCCTCATGCTTGCGTTGCTAGAATGTCATATTGTTGGTGTGTGGATACGTTTACGGATATTAGTTGTTGTGCTACAAGTTGATCAACACCAAAAAATAGACGATGAGACTTTAATAAGTGGCGTCCTCGCGGGGTTGTCATTGGATGAGTATGAGCCTCTTCAAATATGGTGACTACGTATCCACCATATTTTGATTTAACAACTATTAGCAGCGCCTTACATGACTCTCTACCTACTCAACAACGCCTTTTTACAACATCGCTTTTTTTAGTTGACCAATTTCCCTTTTTATTGCAAACGTACTCCTTCCGTATGACCTCTCCGTCTTTACTCTTCTTACTAGAGTATGATCGAACACTAAACCCAACTTCCCTTGCATACTGATTGTAAAAGTCATACACTTCTTCTAATGTTTCAAATTGTTGACCTTGGAAGGGAGTGAGCTCACCAATTACTTGATGATAGAAAATTGATACAAAAGAAATTTAGGAGAGCAGATCCTAAACCCGAGAGCCAGTCGTTCTGTTGCATTGGTGAACTCACTTGTCTTCTCGACTGAACCAAGAAGTTACTTTCAAGCTTGGTAAGCCAACAAGAGTGGCAAAGAAATAGTCTGCTGAGAAATCACGAGGCAGTGGAGGAAACCCATTGTTGCCAATAATGTGCAGTTGGGTTATGTTGCCTTCATAACAGGATAGAGTCAAAGATGGAGTTGGTTCAATTTTGCAGAAGTCTTTGATGTTGCTTCTATGGCTGAAGCTGGTTAAGGCTGATGGGTAGTTGAGAAGCTACTGGATCTTCAGAAGGGTTTGTGACTGAGTGTGTTGTTGTAGCTGGCTTGAAGGATGGAGAAAGAGGAAAACTATGATGAGCAGAAGAAGATGTGAATGGCAAACTAGCTTTGCCATTAGAACCATCAACAAAACCCAAGTTGCAGAAACAACACTCAATAGATGAATCTATTTCTCCCCTTCTTTCTCTGCTTCACTTCTTCCAGGAAGGCTTAAAACTTAGCTTTTGGGGGAATGAAAACCAGATTTTGCTAGCAAAACTATGATGACATTTTCAATTGCACCAAACTGACTTAGCCCTTCAAAATCTATCCTTCAATTTATTTTCCAACTTTTTTTTTTCTTTTCTCTCTTTGGTTATGTTTACTAATTAAACATCTGAACCCAACAAACTTAGTGTGCTAATTATGGAAAATACTTCTGTACCACCTAGTTCCTTACAAAGTGAGAGTGGGTGTGAGTTATTACCCAGTTCATAGAAACCCATAAACCCAAACCCAATTTCTAAGCAACCCCTAAACACGAAAATCCTAAACCAATTTCTTACAAATCCATACACCATAAACCAAATTCACAAAAACCCCAAATTTCAAAGAAAAGGGTTATGAACAGTACCTCGTGGATGTCAACGATGGAGTTACGCTTGGATGAACAGCCACTGTTGACGGAGAAAGAGCATTACGTCGAAGAGAGAGAGGTACACCAGGGAGAGAGACGGGCCGAAGAGATAGAGCGAAGAGAGTGAGAGAGAGAAGCCAATTTCTGAAAAACTGATATGGGTACAATAAGTGGACAATAATTTTATATTTTAAAGGTGTTAGTTGTAAAAAAATTAGGAATGGGTGGTATTTTTAATTAAAATTAGCAAATGGGTGGCATTGGAGGTCATTTCCCTTTGTTTTCCCTTGCTCTAATGCAGATAAATACGCAAAGCTAAGCGCTCTACGTGTGTTGGATTGTGCGTGTTGGAATCTTTGTTATGCTCATATGTTCCTATTTCAAACCACTTTTTATATATTTTAACTCCCGAAATACTGTATTTGTTTATAGTATTTTACTTGGGTTAGCTTTAAATTTACATATTGGGGTTTCTAGGCATTGTTTTGCATGCGGGATCACGGAGTTCTTCGGAACACATTTTCAAATAATTTCCTCAAAATGAAAAAGAATTATTTTTTTGCCTTCAGAGTAGTGGATGAGTGGTAGGTCGAAGTGTCATCGGTAAAGTTTAATTTTGGTGTCGTAATTTTGGTGTGCACGACTATTTTTAGGAACTCAAATCAATACCAGGGACATTGAAAGTGTAAAACTCTTTCAAGTTGCAAACCCACAAGATTTAAAGAACTTTTTGAAAAACTTCACCCAAATGACACTTTTTGATCCATGGCAAGTGCTCAACCATAATTCGCAACTATCCCACCTACCGCCGCACCAGAATGGGTGAATGGTGTGCTTGAGGTGGTTGAGCTATGATTAGAATTGTTTAGGCATTGCTTGTGTGTGCACGGTCCGTCTGTGGTGTGCACCAGTCGGTGCTGTTACTTTGAAGAAATTAGAGTTCTCAAAGCAAGCATATGCTCTGGATACATTAGCATGTGATAACATCATAGAATTTTGGTCCTATTATATTGGTCTTTGGGATCGGCGTAATGATTAACAAGTAAAGTAGGAGGCATTCGTATTTCATAGTGAGAGATGAAATTCTTGGATTTATGAAAGATGAACAACTACGGAAGCATTTACCAAGTATGTTTTCATTAATCAAGAACAAAATTTGGGGGCTTGAAGATGATTAGATAACGTCCTAGTCTCAACCATAAACGACGTCGACCAGGGATCGGCGGATGTTACTTTTAGAACTTTATTGGCACCTTCTGAGAAATCAAAGTTTTTGGGTTCCGGGGGGAGTATGGTCGCAAGGCTGAAACTTAAAGGAATTGACGGAAGGGCACCACCAGGAGTGGAGCTGCGGCTTAATTTGACTCAACACGGGGAAACTTACCAGGTCAAGACATAGTAAGGATTGACAGACTGAGAGCTCTTTCTTGATTCTATGGGTGGTGGTGCATGGCCGTTCTTAGTTGGTGGAGCGATTTGTCTGGTTAATTCCGTTAACGAACGAGACCTCAGCCTGCTAACTAGCTATGCGGAGGATCCCTCCCCGGCCAGCTTCTTAGAGGGACTATGGCCGCCTAGGCCAAGGAAGTTTTGAGGCAATAACAGGTCTGTGATGCCCTTAGATGTTCTGGGCCGCACACGCGTTACACTGATGTATTCAACGAGTCTATAGCCTTGGCCGACAGGCCCGGGTAATCTTTGAAATTTCATCGTGATGGGGATAGATCATTGCAATTGTTGGTCTTCAACAAGAAATTCCTAGTAAGCGCAAGTCATCAGCTCGCGTTGACTACGTCCTTGCCCTTTGTACACACCACCCGTCGCTCCTACCGATTGAATGGTCTGTTGAAGTGTTCGGATCGCGGCGACGTGGGTTGTTTGCTGCCCGCGACGTCGCAAGAAGTCCAATGAACCATATCATTTAGAGGAAGGAGAAGTCGTAACAAGGTTTCCATATGTGAACATGTGAAAGGATCATTGTCGAAACCTACCTAGCAGAATGACCAGAGAACTAGTTTCAAAGCGGGGGATAAGGGATCTTATGGCTCGATGTCCCTTTATGTCGGGAGGGTTGCATTGCGTCTACGCAACTGACCCTTTCGGGTGTACAAATGAACATCGGCGCGAACTGCACCAAGAAACTTGAATGAGAGAGCGCTTCCCTATTGTCCCAAAAACGGTGTGCGCGGGTGGCGTCATCATCTTCAAATATGTCAAAATAACTCTCAACAATGGATATCTTGATGCTCACATGGATGAAGAACGTAGCGAAATGTGATACTTGGTGTTAAGTGTAGAATCCCATGAACCATCGAGTCTTTGAAAGCAAGCCCAAAGCCATTAAGCCAAGGGCACGTATTCCTAGACGTCACACACCATTGCCCTCTACCACTCCCTCGAGATTGCAGGATGGCCTCATGTGCGCTCCGTCACTCACTTGTCATAAATACCAAGTCCTCGGCAACGCATGACAGGACAATCGGTGGTTGTGAAACCTTAGTTGCATGTCGTGTGCAGTTGTCGCACATCGAAGGCTCGAAGAAATCCTTGGCTCTGACTAAGCTTTCAATGTAACCCCAGGTCAGGAGGGTTACCCGCTGAATTTAAGCATATCAATAAGCAGAGGAAAAGAAACTTACAAGAATTCCTTAGTAATGGCGTGCGAATTAGGCATAGTCTAGCTTTAGAATTGGGCTCACATGGCATCCGAATTGAAGTCTAGAGAAGCGTCCTCAGCGGTGGACCATATCCAAGTCCATTGGAATGTGGCGTCGGAGAGGGTAAGAGCTTTGTTGTACCCGGACCCTGTCGCACCACGAGGCACTGTTAGTGAGTTGAGTTGTTTAGGAAGGCAGACCCAATCGAGCGATAAATTATGTCCAAGGCTAAATACGGGCGAGAAACCGATAGTAAACAAGTAATGTGAGGGAAAGAACAAAACGACTTTGAAAAGAGAGTCAAAGAGTGCTTGAAATTGTCGAGAGGGGAGCATATGGGGATTGGCGATGTGCCCCAATCGGATATGAAATAGTCACAAGCCAGTCCGCCAATCGACTCAAGGTATTGACCGATGCGGATTGCAGCGGAGGCCAAAGCTCGGACTGTTGATATGCTCACAGAAGCGCCGTCGACGTGATTGTGGTAGAAATAAAGTCAATCTGTTATTTAACTAACTACGAAAGTACTCATATGCGCATATGACTAATGTGTACATACACAACTCACGAAAGCAAAACTTTTAAAATAACTATCTCCACAATTTTTTCGTTTTCTTGTCACAAAAATTACTATATTATGGAAAATTATAAATTAATACTTTAAGAGCGGTGGGGCTGAGTTGTGTTCATGGCCTAATTCCTTTCCTGAAATATTCGTAACTCCTCCCAAAATTAGACAAAAGACAAACAAAAAAAGCAACAAAAAAGAAATGTTGCTAGAAGTTTTGGATTTTTTTTTCCCCAGCATCGTCAGTATGAGGAAAAAG